AGAGGGCCAGCGTGGGGCTCAGTCCCGAGCGGATAGCACACGACGTTGACAGGATCCGGGTTTTGTTATCCAGCTTCTTATGGCTGCGTCTAAGACAGAATATGGTGTGGTATGGGTTGATACGTTATGCACCAAGTAGATCATTGAAGACATAGAATCTTTACAGCTCCTCGTGCTCAGGAGCGTCATCAGTGTCTGCAATGATGGTCTTGGCGGCACCAGCAGCATCGACGACAGCCTGAGCAACCTTACCAGCAACATTCTTGGTGGCAGATGCGGCAGACTCAACAGCCTCACTGATAGCTTCGGCGGCAGTCTCGGCACCCTCGACAACCTTTGTCTCGATCTTCTCGGGCTTGGGGACGCCTTGAATTCCAACGAGCTCTGTCTCGAAAACTGCAGGTTTGTAGTGTTAGGCGGTGAATATGAAGCGGGAGGGGCTGGTGGGAATAACGAACCCAGGGTAGAACCGGCAGGAATAGGGCCAATGGCTCGCTGGCCGTAGCCGTACTCAGGCGGAATAGTCAAAAGTCTAAGTCAAGGGTCAGTAAAGAATTGTCCTGGCTGTAGCTGTATGCTTTACGTACCGTTTCTCGCCAATACACATGTCAAGAAGACCCTCGTCCCATCTGCGGAACTGTTAGCCTCGAGTTTGTATACATCGCAGAAATGAAGCTTACCCCCTGATGACCTGACCAGAGCCAACGACGAAGTCAAGAGGAGTGCCACGGTCGTAGCCTTGTGTCCGAATTAGCATGTGCTTTTTGATGATCATTGATGTAAATGCAAGGCGGAGGAACCTACTGGCGTCGAATTGTTTCCCCGAATCCTTAAGGGTGCCACGGTAGTGCATTTGGACCCGGTCACCCTTCTGTGTCTTGCGGTCGCAGACGACAGGCAGAGTAACGTCAATCTTGAGGTCCTCGGCGACAACGCCAACGGCGGCAGAGGCGAGGGCGGAGAGGAGGAGGGCGGCCTTCATGGTGGCGGTCGGGACAGATGCGGGGCGGGGGATTGATGAGGTTAATGGAGGTCACAACGGTGTTGAGGTCAATGAGAAGCCTGGTTTCGTTAGAGATGTGACGTCGATGGGTGTGGTTGGCACGTCGTGTGAGGCAGTGTGAATGGATGCGAGCGAGGTTGTCGTTGGATGGATGAAGCTTCCGTCTGCTCTGGGGTTGTTGGCCTCTCTAACGTTAAGCTGCGACGTGTCCGTTTAGCGGCTAAAGGCTCTGGACTGCAGTGTGTGCTTCTGAAAAAAAGCGTCATAGGTACCTAGGTAGCTTGGAGGGTCAAGCTAAGGAGCCTGTCATTGGTCAATGGGGCCGGCCCGCCTGAATGACCCCATCCTTGATCTGTTTCTGGGTTGTCACATCTCGCATCTCCATTTGGAAACTGGGGAGGCTGCAATGCCAGATATGGATGAGCAGAATCGAAATAGCAGGGTCCATCCATGAGGATTTGCATCACGTTGACCCTTCAACTACGTATGGATATCAGCAGTAAATCTGACGGATTACAAATATGCATTTGCATCCTCTGTTTCTGTTTCGGTCTCACAGGGCGAAATCATCCATGTGACTCATGACGATAACACGACGCTTCACTGAATCAGTCGGGGCCTTGTACAGCCAAGCAAGGCGCAAAAAGAAACATCCCTTGGCAGTCCCTGATTGATCACACCAAGGCTGTTATCGAAACAGAGTATCGCGACGTCACTGGATGGTCATGTTTCTGATGCGACCACTAATCAGTGTCGGGCCCATCCGTCCATCCATCCGTGTTCAGGATATCAGGACTGGCAGGAATCGTCTGCTGCGGCGGCTAGGGCGCCGATGTACTTACGCGTGACTGCATCAAGGCGAGATGGTGTAGAGCTTCAGCATTCGACAAGTTTACTACTCGAGCAGGTGCATCAGTTCCTGCAGCAGAGATGCAACCCAGATGGGGGCACATCCCAGCCTGCAGGTGTCAGATCCACCAGCGCCGAGAAGCCCTGGGCCAAGCGCTTCGCACGCTAATGCGCTTCACGATGAATTTCGCCTCTTGTCATGATGCTGTTTATCGAGACAGGGAGGCATGATAGTCCCCTTTCAACCCCTTTCCGTTACGGTGGGGGGCATAGAGCTTCGATAGGCTCGGGTGCACAATTCAGAGACACGGTGACACTCATGTTTAAGTTTTGGGCAGCGATAGGTATGAGCTGGATTTGGAAGTGTCTGTTGTACAAGGGCGATGCCAGTCATGAGAGTCGAGGCCTGCATCAGAGAAATAAAAAAAAAAGGGGGGTTCAACAAAGACGAAGACACAGAGCGTGAGATTGGGAGGTGTCTCAGACAAAGAGTGGAATTGTGAGATTCAGGAAGCGAAGCCTCACTCCCTTTCTTCCCCAGTCATGACGACCACCATGGATATTTTTATCGGTTATGGTCACTAACTTAATATAGCTCCAGCCTCCACGATCCCAAGGTTGTGGTACGTGTTACTGGCGCTGGTGCCTGTGGTGCCTGGACCGGACTGGACTCTAACCTCTAGCATGACGGCCGCTGCGAGTGTTTCATGCATTCACTCAAAGGCCGTTGCATCGTGAAAATGCCCCCCGTCTAATCAAAGTCTAATAAGTCATGCCGGGGGTTGGTATGTATTTACCAAAGACCGAGTACATGCACAACAGACCAGAAGAAGCGACTCATGGCCCCCAATTACAGGCAACAACAGACAAAGTATTATCGTCTTGTCTCTTTTCATCCATTTTGATTCATTCTCTCCGAATTGTATCCCCTCAGACCCGGTCGGTCCCTCTCGCGGACACCGTGGGGCTTGGTCCTTTGCCCTGCCCTGCACCAAATGCTGCTCATTCGCCCTACGTCGCTACGGCTCCGCCCTATCCAGCGTCACCAACCTTCACTTGTTGACCTGAATTTCGCCACCGAGGGCCTGAGTGCTGTCACAAGGTTTCTGCTATGGGGGACGGATGTTCTGCAATTGCAATGAATCTATCTTACTGGGATGTTTTCTTTTAGACTCTGGTCCCTTGCCCTGAACAGCCAGTCGATGCCCAATGATTTGACTAAGCCCCATTATGCTGCACCCCGTATTGTCCAGTCCCATTTACACACCATCCATTACTAGCCCTCCCGTCCGTCGTGCTTTAGAGGCATGGCCCGCTTGCCGTGCCGGGCCCGGGAGTACGTGCTTGCTCGGGTCTTGGTCTTGTCTCTGACTCCTTTTGACTCACTCCCCTGAACTCGATGGAATTCCTTGGGTCCCCCCATATCGAAGGCTACCTAGCGTGCGAGATGCCTTGCGCTTTGCCAGGTAACCCTTGTCCTCCAGGCAGTGAGGTCTTGGGCTAAATCCACTTACAAATGACTGAGTACGTACTACCATTTCTCATCATAAAGCTTCAAATACATATAGACCCCTTCTTCCTCTGCTATTTCCCTTTTTCATTCCCACCAAACACTCACAATACAAAGCCTTGAAAGAACAGACAAGATTAACTTTTCAACCACCAGCCATTCGATCAACATTTACAACACAACTCTCACCAACAACAACTACCCCTTGCAACCAAACACAACCGCAACCATGAGCTCCCCTTACACTGTCCAGATCCACCAGAGCACCAAGGAGCCTTCCATCTCCAGCTCTTACAGCTACTCTTCTGGTTCGTACAGCTCTTCAACCAGCACAACGCCTCGATCTCTTTCTCCTGGCGATTACCGCGAGTACGGTGCTGGTAAGTTACCTACCACCGAGTCTCCGGGCTCTTTCATCCCATAGCCCCACTCTAATATTTGATACAGACAAGCACACTACACAAGTCGCCAGCTCTGGTCGAAACTTGGTCATCAACCACAACAAGGTTTCGTACGAGAAAGACTCGCCAGCACCAAAATATTCTGGCGCATATACGAGGATCTAAACAACACTTGGCCACAGCCAGTTCTTCGATTTCCTATGTTTCATCGATTTCGAACAGCGACATGTAACGGATATGGGATATACACAACATAGACAGGCGTTTTGACATTTGGAGACATGAGGCAAGATTGAGCGCAGCATGGCGATGTATTATGGATTAGAGAGCATGGGTTGCACAACGATAACCAAGATTGATAGACTCTGGGACGGGCTGGTTTGAGCCGAGACTGTTTTTCTTTTTCCTTTTTCCCCCTACTGATTGTATCATCTTTTGTACTTTTACGATTCGAGCGTCGGACACTTTGTGGTCCGCGCTGAATTTTTTAGAAGGGCCAAATCTCCCGTCTTGACCTCTAACAAGTCGAGATGGCTGGATGAGATATGAGACGGCCCGTCGGACTGGTCCGATTATAGCGACCCAATTTGAGACCATGGAACAAATTTTCCAACACACCTTTAAGCTGTTTCAGCTCCTTTTTAATTTCATCTGTGCTTTTTCCTTGATTTTTGGAAATTTCAAAAAAGGGTCCAAGACACCAAAAATTTACTGATGGTGTGACGGGTTGGGTTGGGTCTCTGCGAGTGGATGGGGCCCTTGGGTTCCCTCCCGCTCGGTACCTGCAGCCCAACCCGTGGCAGGGGTTTTAGAGCTTCTGATATGCAGTGTCTCCTCCACTTTGGAAGTGTTTTGAAAAGGTTCTCCACGTTGGAATTTATTATTAAAATGGCTTAGACTGTAAAAAGATGAGATGGAATTCCCACTTTCTGCGGATCAATGACTTTGTCTCTGCCCAAATGGTGTGTGGACAGCAGTCAGAGTTGTATCCTCACACCCCAAGCTTCGTGGTAATACACAGTCGTGTGAGGCTTTGGGCATTTCAGAATCTGGCAGTGTTCAATATACTATAGCAATTACCACGGCCCAAGCAAAGGCCTAATAGTGCCCATTCATTCCATATCGTTTGTATACACAACCATCCATTCACAGTCAGGTCATTTCGTTACCAAAAAAATATTTCCATTTCTGGCATCATGAGTACCGAGGCTCATGACCCCGTCGCATGACATCATGCTCAAGCGCCACCTTCACGCTTGGCATACTCGTCCTCGATGGCCTCTTCGTACTTTTTGGCTGCTTCGTCCTGGGCAACAGTACGTGGGTCGTCATGCAAGACGCCCTCCTTAATGAGGTCCTCTGGGTCTGGACGGTGTGAGATCTTGTCGTTAAGCTTATCCTCGAGCATGTGCTTCTCAAGCTGTGGAGACGTCAGCGACTGTGGCTCAATGGTTTTAGGGCAGACTCACCTCCTTCTGATGCGCCTGGAGGCCTGGCGCTGCCGTAGAGGCTGGAAGGATGTTCTCTGTTTGTCGCATGTCAGTATTGTACGCGCAAGGATGCAATGTGAGGGACTCCTGACTATCTACGAGCTCGGAGCGTTCGGGGCGGTGCTTGAGGTGAGCTTCTAGGGAGTTTCTTCGCTCTACAGGAGAGATAGGAGACTCGTCAACGAGCTTGGGCTGCTGTTCAGTGTCGGCCATGATGGTGTTGTATAAGCGTAAGCTTGGTAAACAGGGTAGTCAAGTTCAGAGTAATGTGTGGATAGGTAAGGTAGGTAAGTGGTAAGTAAGTACTGGTGTAGTGGTTGCGATAGAGTTTGGAGAAGAAAGAGGTAATCAGGTCTCAGAAGAAACGGATGCGGCGGTCTTAAGTTTATCTACTCCAACAATCTCAAGCTAAGGTCTCAGAATGGGCCGTTGATACGACAGCGCAAGGCCATGTTTATGCGCATTGGATGCTTCGTCGGGCGTGGTTGGCTTGGGTCGCTCACCTGTTTAGTGAGCATGCCACCTTTGGTTGTTGCTACCCCGCAACCAGGAAGCTCACTACTGTAAGCTGCGCGTCAGAGGACAGGGGATTGGACGATCAGTGGCTGGCTAAACTGAATTGAATCAGATTCTTAATTGTTCCTGGGCGGATGTTTTGTTCTTCCGTTGGTGATACCATCATGATGGATAAGAGATCGGTCTGGAGCTTGTTTGGCGGGGACTAAATGCAGGCCAAGACGCTTGAAGCTGGAGATGAACGGAGCATCTGGTGGATAAAAGCCACTCGAATTTACTATTGGCGATTGATTGCATAGACAAATGCTGTTTGTATGAGCCTACTGTTTCTGATAAACTCTCGTCCAACTTATGCTTTGACATCTTTTGTCTTAACTCCACAGCGAGCCTTGTTCTATCTCAAGGAATGAGACGTGGTGGTTAGACCAATTCGCTGCGGCTGAATCTGAGTAAAATCTAGTATGTTGAAGCATGTTTGTTTTCACAGAGGAGCGTCTGGTACTCGAGTTGACTGCTTAGGTAGGTATCTATCTGTACCTACTGGGCTCGAATTGCTACTGACGAAAACCGTCTGGTCAAGTCATCTTTGTCAAACCCACCCCAGCCATATTCCTCAGTACCCCTGCAAAATACCTTACACTCCAACAATTGATAACAAACTCCTTCGTCTCTCGCTTAAATAGTCGGGATATGAGTCGACTGCTCACTATTAGATTTTCAAGACTTGGATAGCAACCCAAGATGGATATCATTCCCTGATAATACCTATTATCCCACTGCACAATGACGACACATCGGGCATGAGCGAGTAAAAAGCAAGGCAATATTCGTTATCGCAGGGATGGCCGAGTCGGGATATCATTAGAATCATCCCTAGATCTCCGCAAAAGAACTCAATAAACAATTTCACCTCAAATTCTTGCGATCTATGCTGCCTAGAGCAGACTTTTATTTGCCGCGCGTTTTCATACAATTAAGGTAGGTAGGTAAGCCAGACGTTAACACTTGCTACCGCCACCTATTGCGTAAGGCTGCACAGTAATCTAGGGGGCTGTGCCGGGCGGAAAATTGTCGGCGTTTCGTCACCCGTCAGGCACCAGATCATCACTGAACACAACCTCCCAAGTCCAGTCGTCTCCAGCCACACCAAACCTACCTAAGCTTCCAGACTCTCTCCTTTGGAATTAAACTTCGCATTTTCTTCTCTGGCTTTTTCACACCAGAGGCCTTAAATTATTCAACACGGGATTAATTTTCTGATGCCCGTAGAGATACAAATCCAATACTAACTCTCTCTCTCTCGCTTCCCCCCTCCCCACTCTCTCCCCCATAAGTCGCACATCATGGTACGGTGCCAATCCTCAATATCGGTGTCTTTTTTGACTGACAACTTTTACTCAACTCTCAGGGAATATCAAGACGCCCTAAGAACAAGGGCGCCGGTGCAGCCGCGGACGGCGCAGGCGGAGGCGCGAAGCCTAAGAAGGCCACCTTTGAGACAACCAAGAAGAAGGAGATTGGTGTTTCCGATCTGACTCTGCTGAGCAAAGTCTCCAACGAAGCCATCAACGAGAATTTGAAGAAGCGATTCGAGGGCCGCGAAATTTATACCTACATTGGCCATGTGTTGGTCTCAGTCAACCCTTTCAGGGACCTGGGCATCTATACCGACCAGGTCCTCGAGAGCTACATGGGCAAGAACCGACTCGAGATGCCACCGCACGTCTTCGCTATCGCCGAGGCCTCATACTACAACATGAAGGCATACAGCGACAACCAGTGTGTCATTATTTCAGGAGAGTCAGGAGCCGGAAAGACCGAGGCGGCCAAGCGCATTATGCAGTACATTGCTAGTGTGTCTGGTGGAGAATCCGGAGACATCAAGCAGATCAAGGACATGGTGCTGGCAACCAACCCCCTACTAGAATCTTTCGGAAATGCAAAAACTCTTCGAAACAACAATTCCTCGCGTTTCGGCAAGTATCTACAGATCTACTTCAACGCCCAGGGCGAACCCGTGGGTGCCGACATCACAAACTACCTCCTGGAAAAGTCACGAGTGGTGGGCCAGATCACGAACGAGCGAAACTTCCATATCTTTTACCAATTCGCGAAGGGCGCCTCACAACAATACCGAGAAACATTCGGCGTTCAAAAACCCGAGACCTACGTCTATACCAGCCGATCAAAATGCTTGGACGTAGACGGCATCGATGATCTCGCCGAGTTTCAGGACACGCTTAATGCCATGAAGGTTATTGGCCTTACTCAGGCTGAGCAAGATGAAATTTTTCGAATGCTGGCGGCTATTCTATGGGTTGGAAATATCCAGTTTCAGGAGGACCAGGGCGGCTACGCAGAGGTTATCGATCGATCAGTGGTTGACTTTGCCGCCTACCTGTTAGAAGTTACCCCTGATCAGCTCATCAGCGGTATCACAATCCGAATCCTGACACCTCGAAATGGCGAAGTTATCGAATCGCCAGCCAACCCTGCCCAAGCACAGGCTACCCGAGATGCTCTGGCAATGGCCATCTACAGCAACCTCTTCGACTGGATCGTCGAGCGCATCAACAAGTCTCTCAAGGCGAGGCAACCGACAACCAATACAATCGGTATTCTGGATATCTACGGATTCGAGATTTTCGAGAAGAACACTTTCGAGCAGTTGTGCATCAACTACGTCAACGAGAAGTTGCAACAGATCTTCATTCAACTGACTCTCAAGGCCGAGCAGGAGGAATATGCCAGGGAACAAATTCAATGGACCCCCATCAAGTACTTCGATAACAAGATTGTGTGTGACCTTATCGAACAGATCCGGCCAGTTGGTATCTTCTCTGCTATGAAGGATGCCACCAAGACTGCACACGCTGACCCCGCTGCTTGCGATCGCACATTCATGCAGAGTATCAACGGCATGTCTCACGCCCATCTTACCCCTCGGCAAGGAAACTTCATCATCAAGCATTACGCTGGTGATGTCACCTATACTGTCGAAGGTATTACGGATAAGAACAAGGATCAGCTTCTCAAGGGGCTTTTGAATCTCTTCCAGCACAGTGGAAACCAATTTGTTCATACCCTGTTCCCTCGGCCCGTTGACCAAGATAACCGAAAGCAACCTCCTTCTGCAGGCGATCGCATCCGAGCTTCCGCCAATGCCCTGGTCGAGACGTTGATGAAGTGTCAGCCCTCATATATCCGTACCATCAAGCCCAACGAGAACAAGTCGCCAACAGAATATAACAGCCCCAATGTATTGCATCAGATCAAGTATCTTGGTCTTCAAGAAAACGTTCGAATTCGTCGTGCCGGTTTTGCTTACCGTCAAGATTTCGACAAGTTCGTTGACCGATTCTTCCTCTTGTCTCCTGCTACCTCATACGCTGGTGAATTCACTTGGGAGGGAACAACTGAGGCTGCCGTAAAGCAGATTCTCAAGGATACCAGCATTCCTAAGGAAGAGTGGCAAATGGGTGTCACCAAGGCCTTCATCAAAGCCCCCGAGACGCTCTTTGCCCTCGAGCATATGAGAGACAGATATTGGCACAACATGGCTACGCGAATCCAGCGCATGTGGAGGGCTTACCTTGCCTACCGAGCCGAGTCGGCCACCCGAATTCAGCGATTCTGGCGAAAGAAGCGAACCGGAGCAGAGTACCTTCAGCTTCGTGACCATGGCCACCAGGTTCTTGGAGGTCGCAAGGAGAGACGCCGTATGAGTTTGTTGGGTTCCCGACGATTCCTTGGCGACTACCTGGGTGTCAATGCAAGCACCGGCCCTGGAGCCCAGATTCGCAACGCTGCCAGTATTGGCACAAACGAAAAGGCGGTATTTTCATGCCGTGCTGAGATTCTGGAGGCCAAATTTGGTCGATCCAGTAAAGCAAGCCCTCGAATTATCGTCGTCACCACCAACAAGTTCTATATCATTGCTCAAATGCTTGTGAATGGCCACCCACAAATCTCGGTTGAGAAAGCAGTGCCTTTGGGAGCCATTAAGTTCATCGGTGCCTCATCAGCGCGCGATGATTGGTTCTCGCTTGGCATTGGCTCCCCTCAGGAACCTGACCCCCTGATGAATTGTATGTTCAAGACAGAAATGTTTACTCAGATGCAGCGAGTGATGCCCGGTGGATTCAACCTTAAGATCGCTGAGACAATCGAGTATGCCAAGAAGCCCGGCAAGATGCAGCAGGTTAAGGTCTTGAAGGATTCACAGCTTCCAGTTGATTACTACAAGAGTGGTGCTGTTCACACACAGCCCGGTGAGCCACCGAGCTCCATCTCTAGACCTACACCCAAGGGCAAGCCGGTACCTCCTCGCCCCATCACTCGAGGTAAGCTGATCAAGCCTGGTGGCCCTAACGGTCGACCTTCTCGCATTCAGGGCAACCGAACTGCCAAGCCTAGACCAGGGGCAGGTCGAGCCGTGCCTCAACCACCAGCTGCTGTCTCCAATATTGCCGCTGTTCCCGCTGCCGCCACCCAAAGCACTCCTCGTATCGCTCCTCGTCCTGGTGCGAACGCTGCTACTCCAGTTCCTGCTGCCCACAACGCTCTCCCAAGCCATACTCGCAATGCTAGTGGCGCTGGACGTGCACCCCCACCACCGCCTCCTCCTGCTGCTGCAGCACGTCCACCAAGCCCGCCCAAGGTGATGGCCAAGGTCTTGTATGACTTTGCTGGACAAC